GGAGTTACTATCTCTAGAGACACCCTAACTGGCGGAGCAGTCGACTGAAACACTTGGATAACTNAACCCTTGGCAAGGATAACGAATAAAAAAGTAAAAGACCTTATATGGTAGAACATAGTGTGCCACTTTGGGGTGCCATAGTGAGAGACAATGCTAAATAATTCAACAACAAACACCTCAATGTCTTTTGCACTGACTTCTAGATTAAACAACCTCATTCCAGTCCGGCTCATCCCCAGGCAAATGGATAGGGTGAGGTCACCGTAAGAACCATAGTGCACAATCTGAAAGCCGGACTGGAGGGCGCCAAAGGACTATGGGTAGAAGAACTCCCAGGGATGATGTGGGCATACCAAACAACACCCCGGAACCCCATTGGTGAGACTCATTTCTCCCTCACCTTTGGCATTGAAGTAGTCATACCTGTTGAGATTGGGGTCCACTCAGTTAGGGTCCAGCACCATGATCCTAACACTAATTAAGAAGGTCTCTGCTCCAACCTCGATTTGATAGAAAAGAAGAGAAACACGGTCATAGTCAGGAATACGAAATACAAGCTCTACATGATCAAGTACTACAACTCAAGGGTGAACCCTTGCTCCTTCTTACATGGAGATTTGATCCTTAAGAAGGTAATGCTGGCCAGTAAGGACTCATAAGAATGGAAGTTAGGACCAAACTGGGAGAGGTCGTACACTATAACAAAGATCATGAAGCCAAACACTTACAGGATATAAAATTCCAAAGGAAAAGTTCTACCCCATCCATGGAATGCTAAACGCCTGAAAAAATACTACCAATAGTGCAATTTTATTTCTTATTTTGATTAGCCATTTTGTACTTTTCAAAGACCACCTACTCATCGATGTTTATTACAAGCACTTATCAAATAAAGCTTTGAGGATTCATCATAAAAATGTCTTACTTTTTGTTTCATAAAAAATTTTAGAACATAACAGAGCAAAAAAAACAAAAGGGTAAAGTCTATCAAGCATCCTTGACACTTTGGTTATTCTTGTTGTCATCGTCCTCCTTGTTGCCGCCTAATGCGCTCTTATCGGAATCCTTTCCATTGTTAGTACCACTTACACCTAGTTCCTCATACGTGACAAATGCCAAAGAGTCTATGTTGGGAAAGACAGTTGAAGTTTTTCCCCTGAACTCCTTGTAACCATCAATGAAAGCATATGCTAAACTATCTTTTCAAGTCATGAACAGTCGTCTCTGCAGCCTCCTTTCTCATCTCTTTCTCCTGAGAGTCGGCCTCTGCTCTGATAGCCATCCCATGGACAACTTGAAGCTCTACCTCTGCCGTGGTAGTCCTCTCGTGAGCTACCTGCAACTCTGCCTCAGCTTTGACAGCCATCTCATGAGTTGACTGCAACCCTGCCTCTGCTCTCACGCAAACAATCTCAATCTCAGCCTCCAGCTTAGCAGTTCTCTCATGAGGTACCAAAAGTTCAGCCTCAAAAGGTGCACCTCTCTCGTGAGTCTCCCTTAACTACCGCTTAATAAACCGTAGTTTTTTGCCTCTCTTTCATTAGAGTTATCCATGTCTGCTCATGTTGACCAACCCTTGCAAAAAGACACGTAATGACTGTAGCTACCTACAAATATACAAAAAGAGGAAAACGTTCAACACAATTAGAGGATACAAAGAATAAAAGTCCATAGAAAAAGAAGGTTAAATGATTACCTTAGCTAAACCCTCTATCATGGTATCAATAATGCCCTCTATACCCTGATAGCTGACTTCCCTAATCTCTAAGAATAACACGAACTTTGAGAGTCACTTCTTAGTGAATTCACATCCTGAAACATGGACACTGGACCACTACTAGACGTAGAAGTAGATGGTGCTCCAGTCTGCACGAAAAGAGGAGTTACTATCTCTAGAGACACCCTAACTGGCGGAGCAGTCGACTGAAACACTTGGATAACTGCAACAGGTGGAGGAGTCACCTTCGGGGAGACTGCGAGGGCATCATCGAACCTTACCCTCTTGGGTGAAGGAGCCATTTGGGTAGCCCTAGTAGAGTAGCAAGCCTCCACCCTTGATTTATTTACTGTAGAGCCTGAATAAAAGAAGTATTTTTTAGAAATTGAAAATACCACCGCACTCACCAATGAAAATAACATGCTACTCATTTTAGAAAAGGAGTCGTGAGCCTGTAGAGAAGAAGATGGGGTGGAAGAACCTCTTGAGAGAAAACCTCCAGCCTGATCCAATCTAGCCATAAGAACTGTATAATCCCTACTGGGATAGGGCCTCATGCCTGGAATTTTTTTCTCTTGATCCGTTGATAATTCTGGAAAACCTGAAAAAGAGCTNTAATTAAGAAGGTCTCTGCTCCAACCTCGATTTGATAGAAAAGAAGAGAAACACGGTCATAGTCAGGAATACGAAATACAAGCTCTACATGATCAAGTACTACAACTCAAGGGTGAACCCTTGCTCCTTCTTACATGGAGATTTGATCCTTAAGAAGGTAATGCTGGCCAGTAAGGACTCATAAGAATGGAAGTTAGGACCAAACTGGGAGAGGTCGTACACTATAACAAAGATCATGAAGCCAAACACTTACAGGATATAAAATTCCAAAGGAAAAGTTCTACCCCATCCATGGAATGCTAAACGCCTGAAAAAATACTACCAATAGTGCAATTTTATTTCTTATTTTGATTAGCCATTTTGTACTTTTCAAAGACCACCTACTCATCGATGTTTATTACAAGCACTTATCAAATAAAGCTTTGAGGATTCATCATAAAAATGTCTTACTTTTTGTTTCATAAAAAATTTTAGAACATAACAGAGCAAAAAAAACAAAAGGGTAAAGTCTATCAAGCATCCTTGACACTTTGGTTATTCTTGTTGTCATCGTCCTCCTTGTTGCCGCCTAATGCGCTCTTATCGGAATCCTTTCCATTGTTAGTACCACTTACACCTAGTTCCTCATACGTGACAAATGCCAAAGAGTCTATGTCGGGAAAGACAGTTGAAGTTTTTCCCCTGAACTCCTTGTAACCATCAATGAAAGCATATGCTAAACTATCTTTTCAAGTCATGAACAGTCGTCTCTACAGCCTCCTTTCTCATCTCTTTCTCCTGAGAGTCGGCCTCTGCTCTGATAGCCATCCCATGGACAACTTGAAGCTCTACCTCTGCCGTGGTAGTCCTCTCGTGAGCTACCTGCAACTCTGCCTCAGCTTTGACAGCCATCTCATGAGTTGACTGCAACCCTGCCTCTGCTCTCACGCAAACAATCTCAATCTCAGCCTCCAGCTTAGCAGTTCTCTCATGAGGTACCAAAAGTTCAGCCTCAAAAGGTGCACCTCTCTCGTGAGTCTCCCTTAACTACCGCTTAATAAACCGTAGTTTTTTGCCTCTCTTTCATTATAGTTATCCATGTCTGCTCATGTTGACCAACCCTTGCAAAAAGACACGTAATGACCGTAGCTACCTACAAATATACAAAAAGAGGAAAACGTTCAACACAATTAGAGGATACAAAGAATAAAAGTCCATAGAAAAAGAAGGTTAAATGATTACCTTAGCTAAACCCTCTATCATGGTATCAATAATGCCCTCTATACCCTGATAGCTGACTTCCCTAATCTCTAAGAATAACACGAACTTTGAGAGTCACTTCTTAGTGAATTCACATCCTGAAACATGGACACTGGACCACTACTAGACGTAGAAGTAGATGGTGCTCCAGTCTGCACGAAAAGAGGAGTTACTATCTCTAGAGACACCCTAACTGGCGGAGCAGTCGACTGAAACACTTGGATAACTGCAACAGGTGGAGGAGTCACCTTCGGGGAGACTGCGAGGGCATCATCGAACCTTACCCTCTTGGGTGAAGGAGCCATTTGGGTAGCCCTAGTAGAGTAGCAAGCCTCCACCCTTGATTTATTTACTGTAGAGCCTGAATAAAAGAAGTATTTTTTAGAAATTGAAAATACCACCGCACTCACCAATGAAAATAACATGCTACTCATTTTAGAAAAGGAGTCGTGAGCCTGTAGAGAAGAAGATGGGGTGGAAGAACCTCTTGAGAGAAAACCTCCAGCCTGATCCAATCTAGCCATAAGAACTGTATAATCCCTACTGGGATAGGGCCTCATGCCTGGAATTTTTTTCTCTTGATCCGTTGATAATTCTGGAAAACCTGAAAAAGAGCTAAATGCATGGTGAGAACGCAAAGGAAACATCAACTAAATAAAGTTAAGGCAAGGAGGGTTTGTTCCTATCCTCGTAGGTGTATCCCATCTTACTGAAATTAGAGTGCGGTCCTCCCCAGTAGGCCACTCCCTTCCTAGAAATAAAAATCAAGTCTTCCAACCATAACAGTTGGAGCGTAACTCGATAATCAACTTTCCCGCCCTCGGGGAGAAATGGTACCAACCTCAATTTAGAGCAGGGTTCTCTTGTAACATATAGGCGGCAGAAAATTCTTCACAAGTGGGAGAAACACCTATGCCATGCCCCCGTTGCCATAGGGAGAGGAATGTCAATAACACCCTCCAACCATTTGGAGCTAGTCGCACTGGCAGGAGAGACAACTGTGCCAAAACACGACATATGTGTAGGAATGGGAAATCTTAAACTTGCCTTTAACATTCTTTGTAAATGGCAATATCCCCAGAGGAGTCATCAGAAGCAAGTTCGCCCATCTCGGATTGACATCACAACTCAATAAGGGGAATATAAAAAGTGGAGACAATCCTAACAATGTCAACATCTCTATTGATAGTTGTAAAAATGGAGCTCACCTTAGAACCATCGTCATCAACAGTCACTTTATTGCGATACCTGTGTGGGGGGGGGAGAGTTGGTTCTATTGTCATCACCTTTCATCGTCTGGCTGCCTGAATCATCCACGCCCTTGTTACACCTAGCACCTAGCTCTACCCGAACCTGCACCACTTGTGCCCAAGCACCCGTACCTGCTCTGAAGCTTGCCCCTTCCAAGTGCCTACCTTTGGTGACCATGATACTCGCCTTCTTTGCTCTGCCAATAACACCAGCGTTCTTGGCACCAGCCTTGTCTGCCCAGGCATTTGCTACAACGCTGCCTATGGTGCCCTACACTATGCCCAACGCTCTGGCACCTGCTGTCTACACCCCCACACCTACCTTGCTTGCCTCGCTTGCTTCGCTGCCCATAGGGCCTTGCACATTGTCGCCCACGCCTTTGGCGCCTTATATACTGTTGCCCACACCCCTGGCACCCTACACCTCACCTGTTTCACTGCTTTTAGCGCCCACTAGATGCCTGACACCCACACTATTGCTGACTAGCTCCCCGGCGTCCACCTTTTGGTCCTTGCCTCTCTTTCTCATCTCACCTTTTTCCATTTGGCTTAGGTGTACGAAAAGTTTTTCTTTAGCCTTCAAGATTGGTTTATGGTCCCTTATTTAAAGGATGGGCTAAGGAGTTTCTACTGGAAAGTAACTCTGTTGCTAAAAGAGTCTTGCTACTAAAAAAGCTATTACTGTTAAAAGAGTCCTCTTACTGCTAAAAGGGTTATGGCTACTAAAAGAGTCCTTCTGCTACTAAAAAGACTATTGTTGCTAAAAGAGCTCTATTAGTGCTATTAAAAGGGCAGCTAAAAGGGAACCAAGTCAACATCATGAGATCTTTTACTAATGCCTTATTCCCCAAATCTTGGACTCGGGGCATAGGGGGGCAAATGATAGGCCCGACCTAGAATTGCAAAACAAACTTGCTTAGGGATACGAACCGATAAAGGCCTAGTAACAAAGAATTCATCTATTCATAATGAGCTTGTCCTTTCCTACGAATGAAACATAACACATGAAAATTCTATTTTTTCACTGAATTATAGTTAAAGTTCAAATTCAGTGAAAAATAAGCATTTTTTTAGAGAAATTAGGTGCTCAAACCATCTTTGGCTGTTTGACATTGGTAGATCTCGAAAAAAAATACTCGAATTCAAAAAAAAAATTCGCTTCAAACAGACAGCCGAGAGCAAAGTTATAGTCATTCAAAGTTTTGCCACTTCTTAATGTTTTTCTCATACTCCACAGTGCCAATGATCAGCCAAACATTGAGCACCCAACGGCCACTCTCCAGCCAACGCCCTCATGCCCGTTCGCCCTCGCCCCTTGACGCCTCATGCGTCCTCTGCTCCTCTCTCACGCATACTCAGCTTGCTGAAAAGGAAGCCATTAATTTTTATTGATGCCCTCTCCTGCAAGTTCCATTGGACTCTGGGCATGGGGGCAAATGACGGGCCCCGACCCAGACTAGGCCTAGATTAGAGATGCAAACCAGGTCCAGATTATAGATACAGACCAAACCCAGATTACAGATACAGACTAGACCCACATTACAGAAGCAGAACAATAGAAATCCAGTTATAATTGGTATGTGGCCAAGCCCACTTTCCTAAGAGGCCTAGTCCATCATCAATGCACGTGAGAGTCTCCCTCCAAGGAGAATAAATCATGGGCACATAGTCATCAGGGACACATCGCCAACCTCACAAGATTATCTCGCTGTTACAAGGTAGAGCGAGCTTGAAGGGATCACCCCTCTATCACGTCGCTTGTTACAAGGATGAGGTGAGACTCACGGCATCACCTTGCCCCTTGTGAGGATAATGCCTCAATTAGAGTCCTCAAAATCAACTCCGCTTACCTATAAATTGNCAATTAAGAAGGTCTCTGCTCCAACCTCGATTTGATAGAAAAGAAGAGAAACACGATCACAGTCAGGAATACGAAATACAAGCTCTGCATGATCAAGTACTACAACTCAAGGGTGAACCCTTGCTCCTTCTTACATGGAGATTTGATCCTTAAGAAGGTAATGCTGGCCAGTAAGGACTCATAAGAATGGAAGTTAGGACCAAACTGGGAGAGGTCGTACACTATAACAAAGATCATGAAGCCAAACACTTACAGGATATAAAATTCCAAAGGAAAAGTTCTACCCCATCCATGGAATGCTAAACGCCTGAAAAAATACTACCAATAGTGCAATTTTATTTCTTATTTTGATTAGCCATTTNAACTCATAAGAATGGAAGTTAGGACCAAACTGGGAGAGGTCGTACACTATAACAAAGATCATGAGGCCAAACACTTACAGGATATAAAATTCCAAAGGAAAAGTTCTACCCCATCCATGGAATGCTAAACGCCTGAAAAAATACTACCAATAGTGCAATTTTATTTCTTATTTTGATTAGCCATTTTGTACTTTTCAAAGACCACCTACTCATCGATGTTTATTACAAGCACTTATCAAATAAAGCTTTGAGGATTCATCATAAAAATGTCTTACTTTTTGTTTCATAAAAAAATTTAGAACATAACAGAGCAAAAAAAACAAAAGGGTAAAGTCTATCAAGCATCCTTGACACTTTGGTTATTCTTGTTGTCATCGTCCTCCTTGTTGCCGCCTAATGCGCTCTTATCGGAATCCTTTCCATTGTTAGTACCACTTACACCTAGTTCCTCATACGTGACAAATGCCAAAGAGTCTATGTCGGGAAAGACAGTTGAAGTTTTTCCCCTGAACTCCTTGTAACCATCAATGAAAGCATATGCTAAACTATCTTTTCAAGTCATGAACAGTCGTCTCTACAGCCTCCTTTCTCATCTCTTTCTCCTGAGAGTCGGCCTCTGCTCTGATAGCCATCCCATGGACAACTTGAAGCTCTACCTCTGCCGTGGTAGTCCTCTCGTGAGCTACCTGCAACTCTGCCTCAGCTTTGACAGCCATCTCATGAGTTGACTGCAACCCTGCCTCTGCTCTCACGCAAACAATCTCAATCTCAGCCTCCAGCTTAGCAGTTCTCTCATGAGGTACCAAAAGTTCAGCCTCAAAAGGTGCACCTCTCTCGTGAGTCTCCCTTAACTACCGCTTAATAAACCGTAGTTTTTTGCCTCTCTTTCATTATAGTTATCCATGTCTGCTCATGTTGACCAACCCTTGCAAAAAGACACGTAATGACCGTAGCTACCTACAAATATACAAAAAGAGGAAAACGTTCAACACAATTAGAGGATACAAAGAATAAAAGTCCATAGAAAAAGAAGGTTAAATGATTACCTTAGCTAAACCCTCTATCATGGTATCAATAATGCCCTCTATACCCTGATAGCTGACTTCCCTAATCTCTAAGAATAACACGAACTTTGAGAGTCACTTCTTAGTGAATTCACATCCTGAAACATGGACACTGGACCACTACTAGACGTAGAAGTAGATGGTGCTCCAGTCTGCACGAAAAGAGGAGTTACTATCTCTAGAGACACCCTAACTGGCGGAGCAGTCGACTGAAACACTTGGATAACTGCAACAGGTGGAGGAGTCACCTTCGGGGAGACTGCGAGGGCATCATCGAACCTTACCCTCTTGGGTGAAGGAGCCATTTGGGTAGCCCTAGTAGAGTAGCAAGCCTCCACCCTTGATTTATTTACTGTAGAGCCTGAATAAAAGAAGTATTTTTCAGAAATTGAAAATACCACCGCACTCACCAATGAAAATAACATGCTACTCATTTTAGAAAAGGAGTCGTGAGCCTGTAGAGAAGAAGATGGGGTGGAAGAACCTCTTGAGAGAAAACCTCCAGCCTGATCCAATCTAGCCATAAGAACTGTATAATCCCTACTGGGATAGGGCCTCATGCCTGGAATTTTTTTCTCTTGATCCGTTGATAATTCTGGAAAACCTGAAAAAGAGCTAAATGCATGGTGAGAACGCAAAGGAAACATCAACTAAATAAAGTTAAGGCAAGGAGGGTTTGTTCCTATCCTCGTAGGTGTATCCCATCTTACTGAAATTAGAGTGCGGTCCTCCCCAGTAGGCCACTCCCTTCCTAGAAATAAAAATCAAGTCTTCCAACCATAACAGTTGGAGTGTAACTCGATAATCAACTTTCCCGCCCTCGGGGAGAAATGGTACCAACCTCAATTTAGAGCAGGGTTCTCTTGTAACATATAGGCGGCAGAAAATTCTTCACAAGTGGGAGAAACACCTATGCCATGCCCCCGTTGCCATAGGGAGAGGAATGTCAATAACACCCTCCAACCATTTGGAGCTAGTCGCACTGGCAGGAGAGACAACTGTGCCAAAACACGACATATGTGTAGGAATGGGAAATCTTAAACTTGCCTTTAACATTCTTTGTAAATGGCAATATCCCCAGAGGAGTCATCAGAAGCAAGTTCGCCCATCTCGGATTGACATCACAACTCAATAAGGGGAATATAAAAAGTGGAGACAATCCTAACAATGTCAACATCTCTATTGATAGTTGTAAAAATGGAGCTCACCTTAGAACCATCGTCATCAACAGTCACTTTATTGCGATACCTGTGTGGGGGGGGGAGAGTTGGTTCTATTGTCATCACCTTTCATCGTCTGGCTGCCTGAATCATCCACGCCCTTGTTACACCTAGCACCTAGCTCTACCCGAACCTGCACCACTTGTGCCCAAGCACCCGTACCTGCTCTGAAGCTTGCCCCTTCCAAGTGCCTACCTTTGGTGACCATGATACTCGCCTTCTTTGCTCTGCCAATAACACCAGCGTTCTTGGCACCAGCCTTGTCTGCCCAGGCATTTGCTACAACGCTGCCTATGGTGCCCTACACTATGCCCAACGCTCTGGCACCTGCTGTCTACACCCCCACACCTACCTTGCTTGCCTCGCTTGCTTCGCTGCCCATAGGGCCTTGCACATTGTCGCCCACGCCTTTGGCGCCTTATATACTGTTGCCCACACCCCTGGCACCCTACACCTCACCTGTTTCACTGCTTTTAGCGCCCACTAGATGCCTGACACCCACACTATTGCTGACTAGCTCCCCGGCGTCCACCTTTTGGTCCTTGCCTCTCTTTCTCATCTCACCTTTTTCCATTTGGCTTAGGTGTACGAAAAGTTTTTCTTTAGCCTTCAAGATTGGTTTATGGTCCCTTATTTAAAGGATGGGCTAAGGAGTTTCTACTGGAAAGTAACTCTGTTGCTAAAAGAGTCTTGCTACTAAAAAAGCTATTACTGTTAAAAGAGTCCTCTTACTGCTAAAAGGGTTATGGCTACTAAAAGAGTCCTTCTACTACTAAAAAGACTATTGTTGCTAAAAGAGCTCTATTATTGCTATTAAAAGGGCAACTAAAAGGGAACCAAGTCAACATCATGAGATCTTTTACTAATGCCTTATTCCCCAAATCTTGGACTCGGGGCATAGAGGGGCAAATGATAGGCCCGACCTAGAATTGCAAAACAAACTTGCTTAGGGATACGAACCGATAAAGGCCTAGTAACAAAGAATTCATCTATTCATAATGAGCTTGTCCTTTCCTACGAATGAAACATAACACATGAAAATTCTATTTTTTCACTGAATTATAGTTAAAGTTCAAATTCAGTGAAAAATAAGCATTTTTTTAGAGAAATTAGGTGCTCAAACCATCTTTGGTTGTTTGACACTGGTAGATCTCGAAAAAAAATACTCGAATTCAAAAAAAAAATTCGCTTCAAACAGACAGCCGAGAGCGAAGTTATAGTCATTCAAAGTTTTGCCACTTCTTAATGTTTTTCTCATACTCCACAGTGCCAATGATCAGCCAGACATTGAGCACCCAACGGCCACTCTCCAGCCAACGCCCTCATGCCCGTTCGCCCTCGCCCCTTGACGCCTCATGCGTCCTCTGCTCCTCTCTCACCCATACTCAGCTTGCTGAAAAGGAAGCCATTAATTTTTATTGATGCCCTCTCCTGCAAGTTCCATTGGACTCTGGGCATGGGGGCAAATGACGGGCCCCGACCCAGACTAGGCCTAGATTAGAGATGCAAACCAGGTCCAGATTATAGATACAGACCAAACCCAGATTACAGATACAGACTAGACCCACATTACAGAAGCAGAACAATAGAAATCCAGTTATAATTGGTATGTGGCCAAGCCCACTTTCCTAAGAGGCCTAGTCCATCATCAATGCACGTGAGAGTCTCCCTCCAAGGAGAATAAATCATGGGCACATAGTCATCAGGGACACATCGCCAACCTCACAAGATTATCTCGCTGTTACAAGGTAGAGCGAGCTTGAAGGGATCACCCCTCTATCACGTCGCTTGTTACAAGGATGAGGTGAGACTCACGGCATCACCTTGCCCCTTGTGAGGATAATGCCTCAATTAGAGTCCTCAAAATCAACTCCGCTTACCTATAAATTGTTAGTCTCCCCTACACATGAGGTGCATCACACACAACTCAACACACTATACCTTTCAATTAATAAGATTCTCTGGCCACTGTCACCATTCCTAGTGGAATAGGTCACATAGACCGAACCACCTAATTATTGTGTTTTCTTGTGTTGAACCCTCTTTACTTCATGCTTAATTAATTTTGCATAGACTCACTTTTGTACATCATCAAAATACATAAAAGAATGTAAAATATTTCCATTTAAAATATAAATTGCATTAAAGTAGCTAAGCTTATTTTCATCCGCTTTTTATTTGAATTTAAATTTTAAGTTAGGCTTTTTAACTGAGCGTCTTAGATGTCCCTATAGATTGCTTAACTTCAAGGATTAATTGCACTAGAGGTTCTTAAAGTATGAATCTTGTTTCATTTTAGTTCTTAATGTTTCAATTACATTATTTTAATTCCTAAATTNAATGCTAAACGCCTGAAAAAATACTACCAATAGTGCAATTTTATTTCTTATTTTGATTAGCCATTTTGTACTTTTCAAAGACCACCTACTCATCGATGTTTATTACAAGCACTTATCAAATAAAGCTTTGAGGATTCATCATAAAAATGTCTTACTTTTTGTTTCATAAAAAAATTTAGAACATAACAGAGCAAAAAAAACAAAAGGGTAAAGTCTATCAAGCATCCTTGACACTTTGGTTATTCTTGTTGTCATCGTCCTCCTTGTTGCCGCCTAATGCGCTCTTATCGGAATCCTTTCCATTGTTAGTACCACTTACACCTAGTTCCTCATACGTGACAAATGCCAAAGAGTCTATGTCGGGAAAGACAGTTGAAGTTTTTCCCCTGAACTCCTTGTAACCATCAATGAAAGCATATGCTAAACTATCTTTTCAAGTCATGAACAGTCGTCTCTACAGCCTCCTTTCTCATCTCTTTCTCCTGAGAGTCGGCCTCTGCTCTGATAGCCATCCCATGGACAACTTGAAGCTCTACCTCTGCCGTGGTAGTCCTCTCGTGAGCTACCTGCAACTCTGCCTCAGCTTTGACAGCCATCTCATGAGTTGACTGCAACCCTGCCTCTGCTCTCACGCAAACAATCTCAATCTCAGCCTCCAGCTTAGCAGTTCTCTCATGAGGTACCAAAAGTTCAGCCTCAAAAGGTGCACCTCTCTCGTGAGTCTCCCTTAACTACCGCTTAATAAACCGTAGTTTTTTGCCTCTCTTTCATTAGAGTTATCCATGTCTGCTCATGTTGACCAACCCTTGCAAAAAGACACGTAATGACCGTAGCTACCTACAAATATACAAAAAGAGGAAAACGTTCAACACAATTAGAGGATACAAAGAATAAAAGTCCATAGAAAAAGAAGGTTAAATGATTACCTTAGCTAAACCCTTTATCATGGTATCAATAATGCCCTCTATACCCTGATAGCTGACTTCCCTAATCTCTAAGAATAACACGAACTTTGAGAGTCACTTCTTAGTGAATTCACATCCTGAAACATGGACACTGGACCACTACTAGACGTAGAAGTAGATGGTGCTCCAGTCTGCACGAAAAGAGGAGTTACTATCTCTAGAGACACCCTAACTGGCGGAGCAGTCGACTGAAACACTTGGATAACTGCAACAGGTGGAGGAGTCACCTTCGGGGAGACTGCGAGGGCATCATCGAACCTTACCCTCTTGGGTGAAGGAGCCATTTGGGTAGCCCTAGTAGAGTAGCAAGCCTCCACCCTTGATTTATTTACTGTAGAGCCTGAATAAAAGAAGTATTTTTTAGAAATTGAAAATACCACCGCACTCACCAATGAAAATAACATGCTACTCATTTTAGAAAAGGAGTCGTGAGCCTGTAGAGAAGAAGATGGGGTGGAAGAACCTCTTGAGAGAAAACCTCCAGCCTGATCCAATCTAGCCATAAGAACTGTATAATCCCTACTGGGATAGGGCCTCATGCCTGGAATTTTTTTCTCTTGATCCGTTGATAATTCTGGAAAACCTGAAAAAGAGCTAAATGCATGGTGAGAACGCAAAGGAAACATCAACTAAATAAAGTTAAGGCAAGGAGGGTTTGTTCCTATCCTCGTAGGTGTATCCCATCTTACTGAAATTAGAGTGCGGTCCTCCCCAGTAGGCCACTCCCTTCCTAGAAATAAAAATCAAGTCTTCCAACCATAACAGTTGGAGCGTAACTCGATAATCAACTTTCCCGCCCTCGGGGAGAAATGGTACCAACCTCAATTTAGAGCAGGGTTCTCTTGTAACATATAGGCGGCAGAAAATTCTTCACAAGTGGGAGAAACACCTATGCCATGCCCCCGTTGCCATAGGGAGAGGAATGTCAATAACACCCTCCAACCATTTGGAGCTAGTCGCACTGGCAGGAGAGACAACTGTGCCAAAACACGACATATGTGTAGGAATGGGAAATCTTAAACTTGCCTTTAACATTCTTTGTAAATGGCAATATCCCCAGAGGAGTCATCAGAAGCAAGTTCGCCCATCTCGGATTGACATCACAACTCAATAAGGGGAATATAAAAAGTGGAGACAATCCTAACAATGTCAACATCTCTATTGATAGTTGTAAAAATGGAGCTCACCTTAGAACCATCGTCATCAACAGTCACTTTATTGCGATACCTGTGTGGGGGGGGGAGAGTTGGTTCTATTGTCATCACCTTTCATCGTCTGGCTGCCTGAATCATCCACGCCCTTGTTACACCTAGCACCTAGCTCTACCCGAACCTGCACCACTTGTGCCCAAGCACCCGTACCTGCTCTGAAGCTTGCCCCTTCCAAGTGCCTACCTTTGGTGACCATGATACTCGCCTTCTTTGCTCTGCCAATAACACCAGCGTTCTTGGCACCAGCCTTGTCTGCCCAGGCATTTGCTACAACGCTGCCTATGGTGCCCTACACTATGCCCAACGCTCTGGCACCTGCTGTCTACACCCCCACACCTACCTTGCTTGCCTCGCTTGCTTCGCTGCCCATAGGGCCTTGCACATTGTCGCCCACGCCTTTGGCGCCTTATATACTGTTGCCCACACCCCTGGCACCCTACACCTCACCTGTTTCACTGCTTTTAGCGCCCACTAGATGCCTGACACCCACACTATTGCTGACTAGCTCCCCGGCGTCCACCTTTTGGTCCTTGCCTCTCTTTCTCATCTCACCTTTTTCCATTTGGCTTAGGTGTACGAAAAGTTTTTCTTTAGCCTTCAAGATTGGTTTATGGTCCCTTATTTAAAGGATGGGCTAAGGAGTTTCTACTGGAAAGTAACTCTGTTGCTAAAAGAGTCTTGCTACTAAAAAAGCTATTACTGTTAAAAGAGTCCTCTTACTGCTAAAAGGGTTATGGCTACTAAAAGAGTCCTTCTACTACTAAAAAGACTATTGTTGCTAAAAGAGCTCTATTATTGCTATTAAAAGGGCAACTAAAAGGGAACCAAGTCAACATCATGAGATCTTTTACTAATGCCTTATTCCCCAAATCTTGGACTCGGGGCATAGAGGGGCAAATGATAGGCCCGACCTAGAATTGCAAAACAAACTTGCTTAGGGATACGAACCGATAAAGGCCTAGTAACAAAGAATTCATCTATTCATAATGAGCTTGTCCTTTCCTACGAATGAAACATAACACATGAAAATTCTATTTTTTCACTGAATTATAGTTAAAGTTCAAATTCAGTGAAAAATAAGCATTTTTTTAGAGAAATTAGGTGCTCAAACCATCTTTGGTTGTTTGACACTGGTAGATCTCGAAAAAAAATACTCGAATTCAAAAAAAAAATTCGCTTCAAACAGACAGCCGAGAGCGAAGTTATAGTCATTCAAAGTTTTGCCACTTCTTAATGTTTTTCTCATACTCCACAGTGCCAATGATCAGCCAGACATTGAGCACCCAACGGCCACTCTCCAGCCAACGCCCTCATGCCCGTTCGCCCTCGCCCCTTGACGCCTCATGCGTCCTCTGCTCCTCTCTCACCCATACTCAGCTTGCTGAAAAGGAAGCCATTAATTTTTATTGATGCCCTCTCCTGCAAGTTCCATTGGACTCTGGGCATGGGGGCAAATGACGGGCCCCGACCCAGACTAGGCCTAGATTAGAGATGCAAACCAGGTCCAGATTATAGATACAGACCAAACCCAGATTACAGATACAGACTAGACCCACATTATAGAAGCAGAACAATAGAAATCCAGTTATAATTGGTATGTGGCCAAGCCCACTTTCCTAAGAGGCCTAGTCCATCATCAATGCACGTGAGAGTCTCCCTCCAAGGAGAATAAATCATGGGCACATAGTCATCAGGGACACATCGCCAACCTCACAAGATTATCTCGCTGTTACAAGGTAGAGCGAGCTTGAAGGGATCACCCCTCTATCACGTCGCTTGTTACAAGGATGAGGTGAGACTCACGGCATCACCTTGCCCCTTGTGAGGATAATGCCTCAATTAGAGTCCTCAAAATCAACTCCGCTTACCTATAAATTGTTAGTCTCCCCTACACATGAGGTGCATCACACACAACTCAACACACTATACCTTTCAATTAATAAGATTCTCTGGCCACTGTCACCATTCCTAGTGGAATAGGTCACATAGACCGAACCACCTAATTATTGTGTTTTCTTGTGTTGAACCCTCTTTACTTCATGCTTAATTAATTTTGCATAGACTCACTTTTGTACATCATCAAAATACATAAAAGAATGTAAAATATTTCCATTTAAAATATAAATTGCATTAAAGTAGCTAAGCTTATTTTCATCCGCTTTTTATTTGAATTTAAATTTTAAGTTAGGCTTTTTAACTGAGCGTCTTAGATGTCCCTATAGATTGCTTAACTTCAAGGATTAATTGCACTAGAGGTTCTTAAAGTATGAATCTTGTTTCATTTTAGTTCTTAATGTTTCAATTACATTATTTTAATTCCTAAAATATTGAATATGTTTATATATGGTCTTTCAAGTAGACAACGTTCAAATTGGTAACGATTTTTTATCATAAACTTGTCACGTAATACCTAAATATGAAAAAAAATAAAATTTGATAACTCTTAAACAAAATTTGAGTAACTCTTGACAAAAAACANTATTGAATATGTTTATATATGGTCTTTCAAGTAGACAACGTTCAAATTGCTAACGATTTTTTATCATAAACTTGTCACGTAATACCTAAATATGAAAAAAAATAAAATTTGATAACTCTTAAACAAAATTTGAGTAACTCTTGACAAAAAACATGTAACTTTCGACCAAAATTTGGATAATTAATGGTTAAAACTATGTAATTTAGATAACTACTTAACTAAAATTTGAATAAAACTTTAGTTAAGAGTTATTCAAATTATTTTTTTGTTCATATTAAAGTATCACGTAATAAATATANACATGTAACTTTCGACCAAAATTTGGATAATTAATGGTTAAAACTGTGTAATTTAGATAACTATTTAACTAAAATTTGAATAAAACTTTGATTAAGAGTTATTCAAATTATTTTTTTGTTCATATTAAAGTATCACGTAATAAATATATGATAAAAAATTATTAACAATTTAAATACTGTCAACTTGAGGGACTATAAAAAATATATTTAATATTTCAAGAATAAAAATGATACAATTGAAATATTAAAAATTAAAATAAGACAAATCCTATTTTTTGAGGACTTTTGATACAATTAACCATAACTTTTAAAAAATGTTCAAATATTGNCTAAATACTGTCTACTTGAGGGACTATAAAAAATATATTTAATATTTCAAGGATAAAAATGATACAATTGAAATATTAAAAATTAAAATAAGACAAATCTTTTTTTTGAGGACTTTTGATACAATTAACCATAACTTTTAAAAAATGTTCAAATATTGTGAGCTTGAAACATTTCATCTACTGTTGACCCAAACAAAACAAAAAAGAATTATTTCATCTATCGACAGTGGGATGTTGATTGGGCATTCCAGAGGCAGAGATATTGAAGAGGTCATCGGAAAGAGGGGTGGGCACTTCCTTGGCCGACCATGGATTTCGAAGACTCCACCACCCCCATTCGCTCCGCCACCCACCATGCCGCATCTCAGGTAACCTTTTCCCCCTCCCTCTACGCTTCCGCTCCTTTCTCTCTCAATTGAATCTGAATTTTACAATTTATTTCTTGTTTACTGTTCCCTTATAGAACCCTAGTAACTCTCTGGAAGAATGGTAAATCTTTGTAAGCATGTGTGCTAATTATGAAATTGTTGAAAATCTTTTTTAGTTGATGTTCGTGTTTTTCCTTTTTTGGATTTTGGATTCGTAAAAAAGATCGAGTGTTTGAGACTTTGTTGATTTTTTGTTTTTCTGGGATTAGTAAAGTAGTGATAACCAAAAGTTTGTTCCTCATTTCTAATTTTACTGTAACTCAAAAGTTTGTGTTAATATGCTATTGTTAGTGCGCCTTTTATGGGGTCCACATAATAGGAATAGGGGGACGGGCGGGATTGTTGTATGCTTGTTTTCAAGTATTTGATTTCTAAATCAAATCAGAGGTAAAAAAATAGCTTAAAGGAAACAACAATATTGAAGTTTAAGTATGTTAGGCGGGTATGTGTTATATTTAGAAAACAGTATAAATGGACAAAATCACAGAATGTTTTGAATGGGCCCTTTAGCTATAAGTTCCTATTTTTTTCACCCAATAGATATAAAAGTAAGACTTTGTATTACATGGTATGAGATACTTAAAGATAGAAACTTATAAACACAAAAATATTGAAATACCTACTCTTCTTGGTAATGCAAACATCATTGTCTATTAAATTAATGTTACCTTCCACCGAGAAACTCTTATGTACAATCCTAATCTTAGATCTTTGAAGTAAATGGTAAGCCATAGTATTTTCTTATGTAAAGCAGGATGGAAAGCTGTCCACTATCAAGCAACACAAGAGATTGATTGAACCTTAGGCAGGGCAAGTGTGCCCACGACACATTCAAAAACCCTCCTATCTACTAGTGAGTTAAGAAACCTATTGAACTGAGAAATGGTTGGTGGTTCACCACTATAAGAAGATCAATAAGCTGCATCTCATCAATAAAATCAATACACTCCTGCATAGTCTTGCTTGTATCATTACGCTTTGATCTCTCCCAAAAGGACTGCACCACATTAAAGTCACACCAATGCACCAAGGTTTCTACGACACCCTTTGGACCCCACTGGCTATTCCCTTTCCCCAGACAAACCACGGTTGCCATAACTTCTCAAATCACCTGTTGAAAACCATCCATTGTATTTTTAATTTGACAATATATAGGGTGGATATCTAGTTGAGACAGTATTGGCATGTTGTGCTGGTCACTCACAGGTTACAGGGTTTGATGCTCAAACCAACTAGCCATGGCCGGGGTGGGGGCCATTTGTTTTTTCTTTTTTTTGGGGGGGTGGGGTATGGAAAGCATTAGCTTATGCATTGCATTTGTTTACCTTATGAGTTGAACGGCATTCTGCGGAGTATAACATGGATTAAATTGTCAAGCCTTTTGTTTTTTACTTTATATTAGACTGGACTAATCATTAGGTTGGACGACTTGTCCACTTTTGATTGATTCTTGTAGTGCTGTTTTTTTTTTCCAGTTATTAATAAGATTATTGTTCCTTATCGAAAAAGTTTGTTGACCTTACTTTCCTATTCTTTTGAAAACCTTTTTCCTCCTTTGGAAATGCTAGAATTTACAAATGCACCACTATCCTAGCAATTTTCCGAGACACCATATCTGATTTGTTATGATAGTTTCAACAACTTTTAAGAGAGAAATGGTGGCAGCAAGTGATGTTGTAGAGTAGAACCTTAACTTACAAATATCTTCATAATTATCCAAGAAATAAGGTAGTACATGGAATATAATGCATGTATGATATATTGCCCTATATTCTCTTATTTATAATAAATTGATATTATGGGTAATTAAAATACTTACCTACATCTAAAGTATCCTACGGGTATCATATCCAATACAGTATTCAACACGTATTTTTGAGTATTCGACGAGCATCGTATCTGATATAGATACATTGACTTTAAGGAAGTATTCATGCTTCTTAGATGAGAACTTAAATGTAAAAAAATATTTTTGAAAGTGACATGACTTTGAGTCCGTCTTTGCATTTTCACTCCACATATAATAT